TCACAGGCCAGCATCAACAGGACATTGATTGAGACACCTGAAATCATGAACTGAGACATAATCTTTTTCCACTATTATGTTCATAGCCTTAGGTATTTTGTTTAGAGATATTAACCTATTCATAAACACACACACACATCTAGCATACATACAGAGATACATATCCACACATAATACATATACATCACACCCACACAGATACACATAGAACATCTACACATACACAAACATGTATATAGCACCCTTACACACACACACACACACACACACACACACACATACACGCACACACCAAGGCCACACATCTGAGTAAATATCGAGTAGCCACATGGATATAATCATTCACTTATCTTGACTTATCAAGGTCATATGGAAGGTATGATTGGCAATTGCCCATGTATTTGCCCAAGTTAAAAAGAACAGCAAAGGTAATGTTGGGGATCCAAATGCGGTGTAGTTTAGCACTCATTCTCTCCTGCCTCTCCTGTGTTCCCTCCAACTCCTTCAAATCTATGGCCTCTTTTTATTTGAATATATATTCACAAACATATGAGTAAAACCTGTTGAGTTCGTTTAGTGTTGTTTGTGTGACTATGGTATCAGGACTGGCCACTTGGCATTGGATGGCCAGTTAGGAGTTAGAAGACTAGCACTTCCTCGTCCATGGGGAAGACTAATTCTCCCTCTCCCAGCAGTCATTAGCTGCCTGCACTTTTTTGTCTAGTGGTGAGGCCCTGTCCGATTTTCCTCTTTCACATTAGCATACCTACTGTTGTTGTTTTATTTAGGTCTTTGTTAGGCAGGAAGTGTTATGGGTGTGGTTTCTCTGCCATTTCTAGGAGACACAGTCTCAAAGCAGACTTCCTGATCCTCTGGCTCTTACAATCTTTCCACCCCTCTTCCATCCATATCCCTGCAGCCCTGGATGCAGGGGCTGTGTTGTTCATGCCTCTGTCGGAGCTGTGTACTTGAGCCATGATCGGTAGGTCTCTGCATTTTCTCCAGTTACGGTTTTCTATAGCCATCTCTGTCACTGCAAGTACTCTCACCACTACTAATTTATCTCTCCAGCACCCTGAACTCACAGTTTAGAGTGGACAATTTGTCACGGTAGGGATGGAATAGCAGCTGGAGAAGCTTAGTCTGTGGCAGCAGGAGCTTGTGGTAAGGCTCATTCATATCCCCATGGGTCAAGAGGCAGAGCAAACCTCCAACCTTACACTTCATCACTCAAGTCCCCAGACCTACCAGAATAGCAGCATCGGCTGGGGACCAGGTGGTCAACTTCAGGAGCCCAGAAGTGGTGTTTCAGATGGTTGGGTTGAGAGACGGTGAGTTTCCTGTATCTTTCTGTGCCCATTACCTCACCCTTGCAATCTGGGTATCCCAGTTCATTGAAACCATGGAAGATGTAGATGTAGATGCTTACAGAGAATTTTCAGAACCATCCATGTGTTCTAGAGGTAGATCACAAACTCATCTGTCTTTCTTCTGACCCAAAGAACAGCGCACAGAGTTTTGATTGAATTGCCTAGTAATTCTATCATGAACGGCGCTTTTTTTTTTCTCCCTTGCACACATTACAGACGGTAACAAGGGAGTTATTTTCAATCAAGGCATGCTACAACGGCAAAGATTTCTCCTAACACTCTGATCCCTTCCTCTGAAATCCATTTCAGATTGGCGGATAAAATGTGATTATATTTACACTTTCCTGACACAATTCAGGCAGCAAAATAACAGCCTGCCAGAGACATTTTTCTTCTTCATATTTAGATATGTCAATGTTGCCGTGTGGGGGAACAGGAAAGGGGAAGAGAGGCAGCTGGGACTGGTGATATGTTTTAGTTGGCTTACCAATAGAGATGTTCTGAGTGCTGGTTTCTGTCTATCTCTGTTGCAGAGTTCCTTGAATGCCTTGCTGAATGGCTTTTGGAACAGTGACATAGTACAGTAATCAATAGTGCTGTGTGCAAATCGAATTTCTCATTTTTTGTCATGACACAGCCAATAAATTATTTCAACCTGAGCCTTTAATTGGTTTGGTTTGTGCTCATAATGGGATATACAAGATTTGACTCATCATTACCTGTGTAAGTCCTGGTGGCCGTTTGTATTGAAAACAGAAGTGTCAGAATGGCAAGGCTCAAATGATGGGGTGGGAATGGTGGCGGGATCTGATGTTGAAAAGAGAGAGAACTTGACGTTGAGTGACAATTCAGGGTTCTGTTTCTTAACCTATAGTGTTACTCTCCCTGGGGAGATGCGGAACAAAAAAACAAAAACAAAAAACAAAAAACAAAAAAAAAAACTCCATCTATTCTGCCTAGATAGGGCAAGAATCCACCCAAGTCTAGCTTAGTGAGCCAACACATTTCCTGGAGTTATTCACAGGTATGGGGAGGGGTTTCTTACAGAAGCATGGCTGGCTGAAAGGCAGTTGCATCACTCAAAAGGCTCCTCCCCCAAGCATAGGTGATGACTCAAAAAAGACACAGCTCTGGATCACCACCCATCCAATGTGCAGGCAGCTCCCCTGAAGACAGTATCTTTCCCCCAGCAACTGTTCACTACTTTTATAAGTGTGGGCCAGGGGTTGGAAATCTTGTTACCTCCCCCAGCTCCCTGAGACTTGCTTATTAGCTTCCTGAGTCTCACAGGCTTCCCTCCTCCCTTCAGGGGAGGTGGTTTCAGTTTGGAGGAAACAACCACAGGAAAATGTACCCCCAAATTGGCTGTGTGCTAGTAGGTAGTTCATTGAGCCCGTGGCCCCACTTATAAAACGAGTGGGTTAGTTTAGGGGCAGTCCAGGTTCAGTGTAGGTGGCAGATCTGCCTATTCCCCCAGAGTAAGAGCATCAAACTATCAGGAAGCATCAGTGCTCTATTGACACCACTGCTCAGGGGAGGGTGCACATCCTATTTCAATAACGCTAGAAAGATCAAGAGTCAAAACTAAATACAAAATTGTCCCTCTGGACTGCAGAGGAGAAGGACCCTCCTGTTTTACAAGTCCCTCCTTGAGCTCTTGATATGCAGGGAATGTTGTAAGTAAGCCAGGAACAAATGACCTGTTATCCCAGCTGCTGGGAACAAGGCCAACAGGCGGTCTGTGTCAGCTTTCTGTGTCTATAACGAAGTCACTGAGATAGTTAATGTAACAGACAGTAGGTTTGCTTTGCCACAGAGTTCCAGCCATTCTTTTTAGGCATGGGAGGGGGGCAGGCTGCTGATGACTAGGGCAGGGAACTTTCCCCTGCAATAAACTGCTCACCTCATGGCAATTGAGAAAGAGGATAAAGGGCCTGGGGTTGTGTAATCTCCTTCAAGGATATGACCCAAGACCCTTTTATTATGCCTTACCTTCTAGAAGTTCTACCAAAAGGACTTAGGAGTAGCACCAAGTCTTTAACGTATGGAGATTTGAATTACATTCAAGAGACAAACTACATGCTTGGGCATGGTGGCACATGGCTGAATTTGAAACCCGCCTGGGCTATATATTAAGACTGTCTCAAAAGAAAAACACACAAATTACAACATAGTCAATTGAGTGACAGTAGAGAACCACCCTTCCCCATGACTGATGAGTGAGGGGGTGTGAAGGTTGTGTGTTCTTGCTCTCATTTGGGTTGTCTCTCAAGTGTCATCCTGTGTTGAGAATGCTCCATAGGTTGTGCTGAGACACCCATCAAGACTTTATCACAGCTCCACGTCTCCCTTTGCAGGTTTCATGAGGATCATTAGAGCCTGCTACTCAGGCATCTCAGTCAGCATCACAGAAAAATTCTCTTTCCTCTGGGAGGGAAGTCTACTGTCTCTAGTTCAGCAGTATGGCAGAAATGACAGGTAGGAGTTCGGTAGTCAACCTCAGACAAACAGCCCATAATGCAGCTGGCCTCTTCCTAGGTGGGTCAAAGCTATTGCATAGATTTAAAAGAATATGTTTTTAATGTATTTGTTTAAGACATTACCTAAATCCCTCGCACCATTAAGATGTTGAAAACTAAATTAAGAAAAGAAAAATGCAGATGAAAATTATTATAAACACTCCACCTTGAAATCCATAGGGCTTTTGAACAAAATATCATGTGTTCCAAAAAATGAGACGAATATAATTAGCTGACTCAGTGCCTTTGTCCCTTGAGGCAGGACCCATTGATCCCCTTGTGATCGTCACACTCTTCTTAATTACTTTTTTTATCACTTCCTTACTTCACACAGGGTCTCATGCAATCCAAGCTGATCTTGAACTCTCTCTGTAGCTAAGGATAACCTTGGAGTCTGCTTTCTGCCTACTGGGATTCTGACACTCTAGTTCGACCCAGTGCTGAAGAAGTGTCAGTGTTTATAAAATCTGCCCGATTTTGGTAGAATTAAGAGTTTATTTGTGGTTGGAGTGGAGAAAGGCAGGTTTTTGTTCTTGTTTTCTTCAGGAAAGCAGGACAGAATGTATTTGTGGGTAGACATGAAGAATATTTTCTTAGAGTGGCAGGTGGCACGCTTCACACTTTTTCATTGCCTGTGTGGCCCTTTAGGGAATCAAGTTTCAACTCCTGTTCAGGATCAGCCATGGTTGTTCGGGAACCCTCAGCCTTCAGTCAACCTTAGCTTCTATGCCCCATTCTACAAACTAGCCTTAAGAGTAAGGAAAGGAGGAAAAAATAAAGGAGAAGGAGAAAGAAAGGGGGAAGGAAGAAACAGGCAATTGCAACAGTATGACTCTACAGACACACTCTACGGATCCTTTTATTTATATTAATGCTGGGATGAAATCCAGGGCTTTTCATGTGTTAGGTAAACGTTATACTTCTTAGGCATGGCCTAAGAATATTCTTAGCAAGTGCTTTACCATTAGGGAATTCTAGGCAGGTGCTCTACTGCAGAGTCATGTCCTCAGTCCCTCCCTGGAGGATTCTAGGCAGGTCATCTGCTTTGGAGTCATTCCATTTCTATACTTTCCCATTGTTATGTTTTCATTGGTGATGTCACAATCTGCACAGCCGTCTTGATTTTGCCAACTAAATGCCATGCTTTTGACTATCTAAGGCCCTTGAGCTGTTGGCCACTTTTCCTTATGAAGTATCAGTCTCAGGTATGGTCCTAGTTTACTTTCTGTTGCCATGATAAAGACCATGATCTAAAGGAAGTTGGGTAGAAAAGGGTTTATTTAGGTTACATGTCACAGTCAGTCTGTTGTGTGACAAATATCTGCTCACTCCTGGTCAGAAACTGTCAAGAGACTGAAGTGCAGATAGACTCAAAGGGCTTTAGTGAATCAATGAGTTTTATTGGGTTACTTACAGGAGTATGGGTGAGGAATTACTCACAGGAGCAGAAATGACTCAAAGACAGTTACATCACTTAAGCCCACCACAGCATGAGTGACAGCTCATACACTCTGAATGCCTGGAGATCACTGCATAGCTTGCAGGCAGCTTAACAGGCTGAACAGTGTCCTTTCTGAGTAGCTCAGTTGGCCTGACTCTCTTCCAGGAAGCTGAACTTGCTTTTGCTTTTTCTGGGTAGTTTAGTTGGTCCCTGCTTCTTGCAGGTGGCTGGTTTGGCTTGAACTCCTAGACAGCTCAGTTTGTCTAAGAGTGGCTCTTAAATCTTTGCTGCTTATATACTCTTGGGCAGAAGGGGCCTAATGGATCTGGTCAGTTTCAGGGAGTTCCTGAAGCTAATTTGAGTTGTATAGCTCCTGTCTTAATAATGAACTTCTGTGAGGGGTGGAATGTTTCATCTCCCCATAAAATATATGTTGTTTCATCTTTTTATAAGCATCCTAAGATATATTATTGTTGTCTCATTTCCCTTTTATATCCTATGTCTAAAGAAGTTTTTCTCCAAGATGGAAGGTCTAAGTCTCAGATGAAACTGTTACAGAACATATTAAACTGTGAAGCCAAGCCAAAGCAGGAATCTAAAGGCAGGACCTGAAGCAGAGACCATGGAGAAATACTACTTACTGGCTTGCTCCCCATGATTTGCTCAGCCTGCTTTCTTATAAAATGCAAGGCCATCTTACTTCCCAGTAGGCTGGGCCCTCCCACATCAACCATTAATCAAGAAAATGTCCTTCAGACTTGCCTATAGGTAATCTGATGGAGGCATTCTCTTAGTTGGGGCTCCTGTCCCAAGATAACTGTAACTTTATGTCAAGTTGAGAAAAATGATGATGTTGATGATAATGATTATAAACTAAATAGTACACATATGTGGGAACACCAGACCTTGAGCAGAGACCCACTTCCCCTTCTGCCTGGGAGTAGGCAGCTGTAAGACAATGTTTAGTAAAAACATGCTTACTAAAAACGATACAATAAGTTCCTGGAAAAGGCCTTCCCACGGAAACCGCCCTGACCTCGACCTTGTCAAAGGACTAACCGCACCTTCAAAACCCACACACATCCACCTCTGGTGTCAGAGAGAACCAGCCAGGGTGGAGGAGAGAGCAGAAGCTTCTCTGGTGGGAGCCTTTCTTAGGAAGTCTTCTTGAACCTTTTTGGAGCCTGTTTAAAGTTTTCTTTATATCGTTGAACGAGTCTCTGTGTTGTCAATCCCAGACACCCTCCGCACGTTCTCGGACACAGGCCGAGAAGCAGATGTGACCCAGACTTGGCCGTCCACATCAGGATACATGACTCTGCCCCCAAGATACTGTGTTCCTATCATTTGATTTAATGATGACTTCATGCATTACTTTCCTTTTTTATGTTTCTGTGTATGTACATGCACCTGTGTGTGTAGTGTGGGCCTATTTGTGAGTGTGTGTGTGTTTGTGTGTGCACGAATACACATGTGTGTATAGGTCAGAGGTCAACCTCCAGTGTCTTTCTCAATCACTCTCCACCTTATATTTTGAGACGGAATCTCTTACCGAGCCTGGAATGTCCTGGCTTGACAAGTCTGGCTGGCTAGTGAGCCCCAGGGATCCTCCATTCTCACCCGGTCAATCGTGAATCCCTCACCGGCAGCACTGGTATTACAGGCACATACCATCGCTTGTGGCCACTCGATATGGTGTCTGGTGCTTGGATTTGAATCCTCATGCTATGTGGCAAGCACCTTACAAACTGAGCCATCTTCTCAGTTTCCTTAGTCTCTTGGTCTCCCCTCCTCCTCTCTCCTCCTCCTCCTCCTCCTCTTCTCTCTCCTTCCCCTCTTCTCCTCCTCCCCCTGCTCCTCCTCTCCTGTTCCCCTCCTCTCCCTTTTCCTTCTGTGTGCTATGTGCCATGGCATGTGCACATGGGAGCCAAAGGATGGCTTTGTGGCGTTGATTGTTTTCTTTCACCTTGCTACCCAGGATAAAGCTCAGGCTCTTGGGTTTGCGTAGCAAGTGCCTTTTACCATCTCACATCTCCAGGTCTGCAGAACCATCTCCCAGGCCCTTGGGCTTTTCTTTATAGGGTATTTCTAGCAACCCAGTGTGACTCCCAAAAGGAGAGCAAGGTGGGGGATGTGGGGGCAGACCAGCTGCTGGAATTCATGTGTGCCTGTCTGGAGGAAATTTAAGATTTCGGAGGTGTGAAGGAAAATCGTGTCCGTGTGGGATGCTTACGATAATAGATTTACAGCTCCTCTATTCAGTGCCGCTCTCCTTGCTTATTAGATCTGTAAATTGTTACTTAAAGGTAAATTTTTCAGATTGATTTAGTTTGCGCACTCCCTCTGAGAATCATGCACGTTCCCAGAGGCCCTAGAGCAGTGACTATGGCCCGAGTAAATTGAACTTGTTTAAAGCCATAAGTAAATGCTCAGGTCTCTATCCACTCATGAACAAGCCAAACCTGTGAGAAGCCAGGGAGATGCACTGAAAGCTTGCATCAAGGAAGATCCTTGTAGAGACAGGGTGCAGAGCAACCAGGGTATGCCTGGGAGATGATGAGTGTACTGCCTGCCCAGGGCGCATGGCCTGACATGTGGGGACAGGGGGTAGGGAGTTAGAATGCAATGCTCAGGCTCGTTTGTGTGAATTTACAAGTTCAAAACTGATCATGTATATGATTGACGATTCTATAGAAGTTCATATTAAAAAGTAATTAAGCTGTTTGTTGACTAAGTTCTCACGATGTCTACAATAATGAGGAAATTCCCCGGTACAGGGGTAGGGGTGGGACAAAGAATGGATTTATTTCTCTAGTGATATCATTAATCAGTTGAGAGTCCGCACTCTTCTTGCAGAGGATACTAATTTGGTTCCCAGCGCTCACTGCAGGTAATTCACAGTCACCTGTAACTCCATCTCCAGAGGAGATGGCCTCTGCCGGGTACAGACACGTGCATACTCACAGAGAGAGGGAGGGAGGAAGACACACGAATGAGTGATGAAAAAATACAAATCATAGCCTTCAAAAATGAAAAGTGGTGATGAGTGCGAGCCATTTATGTTCCATCATACTAAGCCAAAATATCTGGAGTGTATTGGTTTCTTAATATGTGTGTAATTAATCCATTAATTACTTGACATAAGGGCTAAGCCTCATGCTGTTTAATTAAAGCAAAGGGCACACTGACAACAAATATCTAAAATGTTCAGATATAAGAAAGTGGTAGAAAACCAAATGCTGAACAACTTAGTGAGATTTAGATTAATGAGTTTGGGGAATATGTCCCTTGTTTTTCCCTACATAAGCTTATCTAATGTACAACGAATATGGGTATGGACTCTCTCTCTGTCTCTCTGTCTCTCTCTGTCTCTCTGTCTCTCTCTCTCTGTCTCTCTGTCTCTCTGTCTCTCTGTCTCTCTCTCTCTCTGTCATAACTGTCTCTAGACAACTCTGACTGGTGCATTGGGATTCTCTTTTTATGTTTAGAATCATTGAATACCATTCAAGAGTCTAGCAGGCTGTCTAACATTTAACTATTGCTTACACTAATTTTAATATTTAAATGATTTTAGTAATATTCAAATAATTTAAATGTGTCCATTCAAAGACCTGCATATTAGACTTTCATAAAAGGCCTGCATGATTAAATTCATGATTGTCTAAAAATGCGAGGAATCAAGTACTCTTCCATTATTAAGCCAACTGAATTGTTTTTTGCTACAGTGTCCAAATAAAATAGATGAAACATAAAAAGGAATAGGCTTTCAATCCATGGACAGGCAATAGGAATCTCGAATGCATGTTGCTTAGTGAGTAAAATCTCATCTGGAGCAGATGTATACCACATGACTCCAATTATAAATTGTTTTAGAAAAAAACATCAGAACCATAGTGATTGCGAACAAAGCAGTAGTTGCTGAGAACATGGGGAGTCCAGTATCTTCTTTCTCTTTTATGAACAGACGGTGAGATGAGCAAATGCACTTCTCTTTGAACTTTGACCATGCTTTCTGCCTTCAAACAGATGTCCAAAAAGTAATAGATCCGTTGTCCCTGGACTGAAGTCTTCAAACTGTAAGCCAATGGAAACCTTTTCCCTTTATAAGTTGATAATTTGGGGGTATTTGCTACAGTGATAGACAGCTGACTAACCTGGTGGACTTCCTGTGTGTGTGTGTGTGTGTGTGTGTGTGTGTTGCATGTGTATTATGGAGGTCTGAAGTCAATGTCATGTGTCCTCATCATTCATATCCCCACTTCATTTTTGGGTGTGCATGTCTCACTGAACCGTGACTTCAGAAACTCAATTATTTATGTAGGCTGGATGTCCAGTGAGCCTCACCGCTCCTTCTGTCTTTGCCTCCCTAACTCTGGGATTATAAACACACAGCACCATAGCTGGCTTTTTATGTGGGTCCTGGGGAACCTGAACTCAGTTCCCCATGTTTACGTATCAAGCAGTTTACCCGCTGAACCAACTCCCTAGCTCCCATCCCTTTCAAGATCAAAACAGAAAGAACGGTGGGGGTGGGGCAATGGTAACGAAGAAGCGAGAAGGGAAACGACAGCGATTTCCACAAGTCTGCCCCAAAGTCTCATTTGTCAAAGTCTTGCACCCTAGGTGATGGCACCATTGAGAAGTGATTGGATCATGAGAACGTTAACTTCAGCCACTGATGAGATCAAAGCTGCATGAGCTACGAGGACATGAGACCCGATGGTCTTGTCAGAGAAAGTGGGCATCTTGGGATGTGCCTTTGGAAGGTGGATCGTGTCCCTAGTTAATGTCAATCTGTCTGTTTGTCCTCTCTCTCTCCCTCTCATCACAAACCCACAGCAATAAAGATGGCTAAAATGTAGGAAATCTTGACTCAATGGACATCTTTCCTCCTTTAAATTATTTACCTCACGGATTTTGTCAATCGGTGAAAGTTGACTAATACACATGGACAGGGTAAATTTTTCCCTAACTGCTTTCATCTATCTAAACCCTGTCTCATCAAAGAGGTGACTCCTATAATTTACTAGACTTTGGGGTTCCTGCCAGTCTCTAGGAGGAGGCGCATGGATGCTGTGCGAGCAACCCTGGAGTTGGGGTGGGAGGGGAAGCCAGTGTGAGTAGAAGGTTGACAGCTGAATGACAGGCTAACTTTTAACTCTTACTCCCTCTGCTAACAGATGAAACACACAGTTAATTTCTAGGAACGTGGCTGCTGGGGTGGCAGCTGAGGGAAATCAAAGGCTCAGCAGGCCCCCATAATTCATACTCATTTTGTGTAGCCAGAGTGGATGATGGGATGGCAGGGTATGAAAAAGTTCCCAGCTCTTGCGGGCACACCGCTGTGTCGAGGCCCGTCCCACTGCTCTGTCTCCATCTGCATGCGTGCCCAGGGCCAGCCAAAATCTGGATTCGTGCAGGGAAAGTAAATGGCAGTACCCACTCTTCGCTTGCTCAGGCTGCTGAGGCAGCTGGCGAAGACAAGTGACCCAGTTCTGCCATCTAATCGGTATTGTCTGCACCTCGGGAGCATCCTTCTCTGAGGGACGCTCATTGTGATCCATTCTATTTACCCACAAATGCCAGAATTTACTTCCGAGGAGCTACACATGATAACACTCTCCCTGTGTCAAAGACTTTTATTTGAGATGAAAGACCCAACAGTGCCTGGCTTGTCTGATTAGAGCTGTAAGTTCTGTGATTATCCTCAGAATACAGACAGGGCTTCAATTGTGGCTTTGTTCTCTTCCTCCCCTCAAGGCTGGTAAGCTGAGAGCTCAGCTGATTCCCCAAGACAGCCTTGTGCTGGGTAGTCGCTCAATTGCTCAGTGCCATGCAGGTTCTCAGATACATACTTTTCTCTATTTGCGTGTGTGTGCATGGTGTGCGTGTGTGCATACACACACAATGCACAGGTAAGTAGACTGATGGATAGATGCATAGGTAAACAGTTAGTATTGCTTACTTTCTCACTGTAGGGTCTGATGTACCAGCCATGTATGAGAAGTACTATTTCCCTTTACCTTCATGGGCAGACTGGAAAGAGTTCTCAGAACTATGATGAGTGAACTAAATAGAGAGCAGGGTACCACCTCAACTTGTTCCTGGGAGGAGGGCCAAATCATGGAGACACTAGATGTGAACTGGGGAGAGGCTCTGTTGCTACGCTGTTTGCTCTGTAAACATGGAGACATGAATTTGACCCCTAGAACCTATGGGAAAAGCCAGACACAGTGGCATGTGATTGCCATTCCAGTACTGGTGAGGTAGAGACGAGAAGATCCCTGAGACTCACTAGCCAGACACCCTAGCCTACTGGGCAAGTGCCATGTTCAGTGAGAGACCCAGTCTCCAAAAAAAAGGTGGATTACTCTTGAGTTGTCCTCTTGCTTCTTCACAAACACATAGGTGAGAATATATATATATATATATACATATATATGACAGATTCACACACATATTCACCCACCCACAATATTTGACACTTTTCAGTTTGTGTAATAAAATATTGTGACAAAAGAAACTCAAGGAAGAAAGGGTTTATTTGACTCACAGTTCCAGAGTATAGATTCCATCAAGGCGGAGAAGGCATGGCCTCAGTTAGGGACACTATGGCAGTATGACAGCAGAAGCAGGAAGTAGCTGATCACAGTTTGATCTACACACAGTGCAGGAAAGGGAGAGAGAGAGAGAGAGAGAGAGAGAGAGAGAGAGAGAGAGAGAGAGAGAGAGAGAGAGAGAGAGGAGAGTAGGAAGTGGAGTAAGACTATAAACTTTTAAATCCCACTTCCAGTGAAGTATTTCCTCTAGCAAGACTCTGCTTCCTAAAGGTCCCACAACATCCTGAAACACCCAGCTAGGGGTGGGGTGCTGAAATACATGAGCCTGTGGGGGACATTTCTCATGCAAACAACCATACCTCTGCACACAAAGATACTAGATGCAACACTTAGGTTTGAGACGAGGGTGGGCTTTCGGCAAGAGAGAGCCATTTCCAGGAGTCCATCCTATGGTTCATTCTGGGATCTCTTCCTAGGGTGATCAGCCCAAACTCCTAAAATGAACGTTTGCAAGATACGGAGATACTGCGAGATACTGGTGCTTTAAGAAGCCACATGAGGGCTGGGGAGATGGAGAGTGGGTGAGAATGCTTGCTGTACAAGCATGAAGACCTGAGCTCAAATGTCCAGCAGCAACGTAAAAAGCTGGATGTTGACATCCGTACACTACAGCCCCAGTGCTATGGGAGTTAGAGTGTAGAAGAGACGGCAGGGCTTGCTGGAGTCAGTCTAGTTTCAGGTTTCAGTGATAGACACAGTCCCAAGAGGTGGATAGTGACAGAGCAGGACATCTGGTATCCTCTTCTGGAGCCTATTCTTCTGAGTGCACACACAGGGACATGCAGCATACGCCCCCACCCACCACACACATACACCTCCAAACCCCCACAGAAAGAAGCTGTGTATTTCCATCAAAGGAAATAAGCACAGTAGCTGCTGAGATGAGCATCCTCTGACCCAGTGTGAATGATTGACAAGGAGGAGCCGCAAGAAGCAAGTAGAAGTAATGTTAGTCGAGCATCCTTTGTGGCAGCCCCAGGGTAACCATCCGCTCGCAGGGATGGAGGGGAGGGAAAGGGCACAGTGGCCTTTCGCAGACACTAGAGCACACGAAGAGGCAGGAGTGGCTGCAGGCAGGAGGTGGGGTGGAGCCCAGCAGGGGCAGCTGTAGCTTGAGATCTTCGATGACCTCTGAGATGGAGTGTGAGATACTCTATGAAGATAGCAGCAGGTGGGAGTCAGGGGAAGTTTGGGAGATCAGAGACTTCCTCTGTATCTGATTATGTCCTACTATCAACCTTTAAAACCCATTTCCAAGGGTACTTCTCAAAAGGTTCTGTTTTTAGAAGTGGGTCATCTTCCTCACAACTCCCCAAGCTCCCAGAGCTCTTAACCTTATTGCACACATTATCTTCTGAGCTATACTTTAGTTACCTGTGGTCTGTCCAACTCAATTAGTTTTTTTCTAGATCACCATTACTGACTGTCCTGTTCTTCTCCATTTAGCATCTTCTAGAACCTATAGTCTTTGGTGGAAGAGGCACTGTCTCTGAATTTTCCTCATGATACAGCCAAGATGATTCTTCAGTAAATAACATGATGATTGTGTGTGTGTGTGTGTGTGTGTGTGTGTGTGTGTGTGGTGCATGGAGACAAGAGGCTAATACTGGATATTTTCTTCAGTAAATTTCCATATAATATTTTGAGACAGAATCTTTCACCAAATCTGGCACTTACTGGTTCAACCAGGCCAGCAGTCTCAACCTGTGGTTTGTGATCACCAGAGAACATATTTCCAATGGTCTTAGGAATTGAGACACCGATCAGTAGCAAAATCACAGTTATGAAGCAGCTATGAAAATAATCTTATGGTTGGGAGCGTCACCACAGCATGAGGAGCTGTATTGTATTAAAGGGTCAATACATTAGGAAGGTTGAGAACCACTGAGCTAGACTAATTGCCCCCAAAGCCCTGGAATCTAATCACCTTCACCTCCCCGGCATTGGCAATCCTGGTTTTTATGGGAATTCTGGGGAATTGAACACTGATCCTTAGGTTTGCTTGTCAAGAACTTTATTGACAGAGCTCTCACCACAGCTCAGATTTCATTTCTAAAGGAATGGCTCTCTGCTTATTGACAGCAGAGAGGTACAGAGGCGGTAGAGGAGAAGGAATTGTCCCTTGAGGAAAAAAAATCATTGTGGTGGCTTTGGATTCCAACACAGTCTGGTTTTCCCAGGAGAGGTCAAGCCTTGCTCATAATGTGTGAGCAAATGCTTGCACAGGGAGGGAGGTGGTCAATGGACGTGAATAACCCCATTTTCAGGGAATGCCCTTGACAGGGCTGGCTGTGTCCTGTCTGCTATGCTGACACTTTTGCTTTACCTGCTTTCATGATAGTCAGAGGCCAGCAGATGAGACAGAAGGCAGGAGGCCCAGCTGAGAGGCTAGTGGGTGAAGGGGAGGGGATGGAACCTCTGGGGGAGGAAACAGCACCTCCCTAGACTAATTAAACCCTTTGGTCTCTGGCCCCCTCCAGCCCTGGAGTATTAGCACTGCTGAATCAGCTCCCCGCCAAGGCCAAGCTGCCTCTCTTTTTCCTGCTTGATTTGCCTAATGGAAGCTGACAGTGAAGTTCATCCCTGATTGTCAGGTTTCAGTAGGAACCTGGGGTGGGGGTGGGGGACACACAGACATTTGAAGAATAAAAATAGCTCACATAATGAGATCCTTTATTTAGCTGAACAATTTCTTTAATGACTCTCTCTCTCTCTCTCTCTCTCTCACACACACACACACACACAAGTTGGGCACACAGACATCTGCTTTTCTAGAGTCCTTGACAATGTCCTGTGAAAAAGGTGAGAAGTCATTTACTACTGGAGGTGGACAGTGCTCCCAACCCTCCTCTACTGGCCTCCCCATTCCCCATCTCTTTCTATGTACCCAAGTGCGATGCACACAGTCAGGAAGAGTTAGACACTTTGCCCCAAGTTAATCACAGCTACTCAAATCGGACATTTATATTTTTGTTTTTCGAGATTTGGTATTAATATATCTATTTATACACAACAATTGGTTTTATTATGACATTTTCATACACTTGGAAGGGCATGGGCGAGGCTTTACATACAGTAGCATGGCTGCCTTAGCGAACAGAACATGACTGAAGAAAATACCTCTTCCTTCTCCATTAGCCATTAAGCAACTATAGAATCTCAGGGACGGGGAGAACTCCTGAGCCCATCCCCATTAGCTATTACCAGTTGCCTACAGATCCTGAATGGAGCCCTGTGACCC